TATATTTAAAAAAACAAGGAACACTGCAGCATTCTGAGAAAACTGGCAGCTATTTTGTAAATAGGCATGCCCACACCCCATCTTCAGAAACATTTTGGGAGAGCATCCACAAAAGCTTGTCCAAAGTGTCTACTCCCCCCCATCTCTACTGCACATCATGCACAGCAAACTACAGCGTGAGAAGGGAGAATTACTGAGAACCTGACCCAGAGAAGAAGTGATACCTCCTTTCTCCTAAAAATCTGTGCCATTCCCCACCCAACTCCTTTTAGTAAAAATAAATAATATTTATTTTTTATTTATTAAGGATCTGCCACATAACATGCTGCTTTCTAAGAAGTTTCCATTTAGCAGAGCTCCAAGTGTCTCGAAGGTTAAATAAGGGTGGTTTGATTGCACCACTTATTTGTTCCCAATTTGTGCATTTTAGTCAATAAAACAACAACAACTATGTAGATTACTTAATTAGACTGATCTGATGGGGTATAAAATTATAAACAGGTGCTTATTTGGGATCACTCACCTTGAATCTATCACATAAGGACTACAGGTAGACATTAATTTGGTTTTTGTTGTTGTTTGCAGTCTGAAGAACACGACTAGCCATACCACCCTCCCTCCCTCAAAACTCATTCATTCTGTTAAATAACCAAATGGCAAAACACGCTTTTTCACACTCACTTTATTCTGTTTGGAGAAGAATGTGTGGACTTAGAAGCATAATACTGACAAGCAAGGGGATTTGCTCTTACCTTTCCTATGGCCAATTTCCTTTCGGCTCAATTTAATGCATGTTTACTTAAAAATAAATTCAACGTGAACTGCTCTCAGTTGTAGTGTGCAAAGTTACATTGGGAAGTTAGGTGTGGTAAAGTTCAAGCAATTTCCTTTCGCTGACTCAGAGAGGGTGCCATATAATTGATTCTGATAATGCCTGTATTGCAATGTGGCAAAAATATTTTCCCATTAAATAGAATCTACCGAGGGTTAAAAATACTGTATCTTAGAATTTGAGTCACTCAAAGTGGTTCACCATTAGATCCTCTGTTTTTTAAAGAAACAAAAGAAATTGGTGGGCAGGAACTTAGCATCAGAAGGAACGTATTATATAACATAAATATTCTGGTCATAGTATGTGGCAGTACCTCTGACTATTTTATATAATGGAATAAAAAAGCCAAAACACAGCAAGAGCGGCTGACCTCTTAAGCAACCAAAACTGCTTTCATTTCATGCTACAAGTTCCTAAGAACTGATACAAGAGGAAAAGAAAAATAAGAACATTTCAGATGGAGAAACGGGCCATAAAAGTTTAAATGTAGTCATTGCCAGTTAATTTCTAACAGGTGTAAGAGAAAAACTTTGGGCTGCATCCAGTGGTGCATCTGCTTACAGATTTCTGTTAGCCCTCCAAAGGATCCTTTGATGCAAACCTGGAAGATGTGGGAAGTGGTAAAAGGAGAATGAAGAAAGGTTTTATTAATTCCCAACATGTCTTCTAACATAATGCTCAACCAACCAAATAAATAAGTAATGTCAGGACTGTAAATAATCTGTCACAAGTTGTTGTTTTTTTTTAAGATATGGATCTATAAATTGGTTGTTTAGTATGAATTTGGTCTTTTTTGCACACCGGCAGACTAACTTACAGTTCTGATTTAATCTGCTGTCAGGTTTCCAGTTATTCTACAGGTAGAAATACAATTCCATGGGGGGAGCCAGGTGGGGTAAAACACTGCTTATCTGTAAATGTGCATTCCCATGTTAGGGTGTTCCTGTATGTCTGCCCAAGCCTGATCAGAACGTTTACATCTGAATGGTTTTGGTGGATACCCAAAGTAGAGGCGGCTCTTTCTTCAAAGCACACCCATTACTTTATCTCAACCCTCAGAGATCAATGCAAGGCAGTAACAACAGGATGACCACCTATGTGAGGATGGAACATGGGTGATGTAAATGCATGATGACTATTCAAAAGACACATTACCTATTCCAATATCCAGGGCTATGCACTGATCTTGTATATGTATGATAACAGACATATCTGGGATATGTGGCCTGGGATTTTGTACAGGTTCAGAGAAACACACTATGTTAGAGGTGATGGCTACCTGAACTTTTGCATCACAGGAAAGTACACTGATGCACTGAGGCATCTCTGACTGTGCCCGTGTGCTTGGGGGAGTTGAACAATCAGCTCTCCTGACAAATGCATTCACGGTGAGTAATTTGGTAGGAATTCCAAGAGAAAAAGAACACCTTTGCTTTAGGTTGTGGGTTGACCCCATCATCTCAGACTGGATTTGAGGTGGAAATTTGCATTTCCCCAGACTAAAGAGGAGCCAGAAAGTCCAAAAGAAGCCAATGCTGCAAGCAGTACTTCAGTATAGACAAGCATAATCTGCTGCTGTGGCATTGACTAATGAGTATCCCAAGAGCTACTGAGTGGTCTGTTCTGCTGGATGTGGCAACATCCAAAGCCATGTCCAAATTACTTGAGATAATGCCATGATCTCAATATTCTTCTCCTGCGGAAGGAATGCTGGAGCCTGCACTGAATCTCAGAATATGCCTCCATACTGAAGTGATTTGGTAGGAATTAGGCAAGATTGTCTCAAACTCACAGAAAGAGAAGATAATGTGATATTTATATCCAGGTGTTCAGATAGTGCCACACAATGAGCCAATTGTCCAGATACAGAAAAATGTAGGTCTCCGGAGCATAAATATTCAACTAGAACCACCATGGACTTGAGAAAGACTCATAGAAACATCAACAGAATGAAGGGAAGGATTCTGAAATGGAACACCAAAATCTCCTGTAGCAAGGAAAAAATCCTGATAAAACATCAAATGATGATGATGATGTTTCTGATGATTTGGCAGATGGTTTATAGAACTGTAGGCGCTCCAAAGCTCTACTGACAGAACTGGTCCCTATAGGTGAGCAGGGCATGAATAAGACTATACTATTGCTCTATGGAATTACTGCAAACAAATAAAATCCTTGAAATTCCAAAGATGCATACAGAAGCATCTCATTTTAATGAAAGGCATAACAAAAGGAAGAATAGCAAACAGAACGATTTCATGAGAAACAGGTTGAGTGAAGCAAATATCCAGGAGAAAGAAAGGAAGAAGGGAATGTTCTTTCAGCCACTTTCACTGTAGAAGAAGAAAGGAAGTGAGATAAAAATGGGAGTGGTTCAGTACTTGGCGGTGGAGGAGAAGTCTGTCCGAGTCCATAATGTATAGTTCAGCTGTAGATTGTCCCAAAGAGAACTACAGAGGTGTGCAGAAACATCTATTGTATGGCACACTGAAACCATAATGAAGACAGATTACTATGGAGTCTTCTAGATAGGCCTCCATTCTGCTGAAGTCTTAAATTTCTTGCATATCAATTTTAATTATTTGTTGAATATGTATCCTGCTGTTTCTCCAAGAGCTTAAAGCAGTTTATATAGGGATTTCTTTTTTCCTTTACAACAACCACCCTTAGGAAGGGCTGAGAGACAGAGACTGGCTCAGAGTCAACCACTGAGTTTCCATGGATGTGGGGAGGTTTCTCCAGTCTTAGTCCTAGACCAACATCTTAACCTCTACACAACATGCTTAAATGTTCCTGGCCAATGAAGGCAGTGCATGTGCTTTGCTTTTTTTTGGGGGGGGGGGCAAGTAGAATCTTGTCTGATACTGTAATAGTCCACAACATATATATCTTACACAAATGAAAAACATACACAGTCAGCGTATCATGTTTATTTTCAACTGCACAATGACAATAATAATAAAATCAGCAGATGGTTATGCCTTTATAATACAGTTTCTTTGAACTCAGTTTCTCAATCCTATTTCCTGCAAGATGAAAAAAGAAATAGCAAACAGTATGAATCCCATAGTTTTACTTCATGGGATATTTTCCCCCTCATCTGGATTGTACACTTTATATTGTGAATGGCCTATCTTAATCATTCACAAGCCACATCTGAAAATCAAAGGTTAAGCTACCTTAGGGTAGTTTGCTGTGCCAAAATAATTCTCAAAACTAAATGTTTAGATAAACTATGCAGACATTCTGTTATGAATCATTCACTTAAAACCATGTAGGTATAAATGAGAAATCCAGACCTTAATCCACATTCTTTAAAGAAACAAAAAGAAGGATTTGCTGAACACACTCTAGCTTGCAGTTCAGAAGTACAACACCTGCTTTTCCTTTGGAGGGTCCCATTCCTAAATACAAATCACCAGCATGTTCTAGCATGGCAGAATAACCTCATTTGAAACCCTGGTTAGCCACTGTCAGTGGATGCTCCCTAGATGTGCAAGGCTTCCAACTCCCAAATTGCCAACCAGTGTGGTAAAGCTTATGCTATCAGAGGGTTTAAAAGTTAAATCAGCGAATCTGGAAGGCACCAGGTTGCAAAAGACTATAATAAACTATACAGAATTAGATGAACCAAGCAAAGGGGGGAGAGGAAAAGTGGAGGACATAATGAGAAAGATCAGTATAGTCTACTTATGTTGTGTTAAGTGGTTTTCAAATGAATGAGCTTCTGAAGCTATATCTTCCTCTCGACTGCAGTTTCTTAGTCACATCCATATCATCATTTGCTCATACTACTGCTATTACGACTGCCTCTAAATCACTGCTGCCAAGAAGGCAGTTACCAACGATGAGTTTTGTAGCAACCACAGGGACAACAGTGAGTAAAATGCTCAGAGGACAATGTCTGAGCACTTTCTAACTCTTCTTTCTGAAAAAGGATCAGCAGAAAAGGCATGGGGAACTACCAGTACTCTTGAAATGAACCCAGCTGTACCAGCAGCAATCAGTGAAGTGGAGATGCATGTAATACAAAGTTCCCTGCAGCACAAGGATGTACAGCATATGGTTTCATTCACTTCTCTTGGCACTATAAATGGGTGGCCAGTCACTTCCTTGTAAAATGCACACACAGGCCCACTTCCAATTTTGCAGACAGGGTAGAAACACGGAGCGTCCAACACACAAAAAAGAGCACCAGTTACCCAGATGAGTGATAAACAGGGCTTGAAGCCATATCCTGGCATCAGTGAGAAAGAAACAGCGGAAAATAAGGAGTCCATGAAGATGATTATTGCAAAAGGAGAAATCATGTAACTTGTCTAGCACTGTATCTGCTTTTTAATAGTGATGTTTCTAAGAAAAGGCTACTTGAAGAAGTACCTGATAAAATATAAGATACAATTCTGTACATACAAAGGTCAATCCTACAGAGGAAAGCTAATGCAAAAACTTAAACATCTATTTAAGACTCCATCCTCCACCCTTTGTAAGAGTAGAACAGGAAAGCGTGGTATGTGATTTTAGATTTGTCTGTTTATTGGATTATTTTTGTAACATGATTGTGTTTAAGAATGGTCAATACTTGGCAATTGCTGAAAATAATGTAAAGTAAAAACAAAGAACTCCCTGTGACTTCTTTTAATATGGGAAGTGACAATTCTTTCTCTGTGTGATCAGATCCAAGTACAATACTTAAATGCAGGTAGTCCCTGGGTTAAGAATGCCCAGTTTAAGGACGACCCATATTTAAGAACAGAGCCTATTGTAGCAAAATTCAAGTTAAATACACAATGATTCGAGTTAAATA